GCAGGAACGGTTTCCTCCCTGGGACTCTGAGAGCCGCCCGCATCCTCACCCCGCAGTGCGAGCAGGAGGTTTGGGTCTGTGAGGGGTGAATCTCCATCCCTGGGCAAGCGTGCGCACAAGGTTGGGGTGTGTGTGTCCAGGATTGAGTAGAACTCGGGGGGTGCAGCCAGACAGGCTCAGATACAAATCCTGGCTCCGCCACTTCATGGGTGAGCTGCATTGGGCCAGGACTGCACCTTTCCAAGCCTCCATGTCCTCATCTGTCCCCCCAGGACCCCCTCTCCCTGGGACCGGCGGGAGAATTAAATGAGATCGTTTATATACGACACACTGAACACCGAGGTGGCCATACATTTTAGCTGTTGGTGTCGCACTGCCCAGCGGGTCCCCAGGGCTATAGATCCTCCCCTTTAGAATCTCATCCCCAGCTACCTGCTGATACCCCGGTGACAATGTGTAGAAGAACCCCCCTTCCCGCTCCATCCCAAGTATTTGCAGAGCGCAGCAGGAGGCCTCCGAGAAGCGCTGGGAAGGACTAGCTGCCCAGACGAGGTTGTGGGTTTGCCCCTCTGGGGGTTTGAAAGGCAGGTCAGAGCCTGACCTTTCCAAAAAGCAGTCCCGCCAGGAGGCCCTGCCGTGAACCCCAGGAGCTGTCATGGCCACCCACCGGGGCGCTTCTCTGGCGGGACCTCGCCAGCTGCTGCTCAGTGGTCAGCAAAACAGGATGAGGCCTGGAGGGATGTGACCCTCAGTCCCATTGGTGAAAGGCCTCAAAGGTTAGAGCTCAGTCGGCGGTAAACCAGCTCTGGGGAGGGGGAGCCGTGGGGGAGGCGGCCTCCCTGTCTTAGAAGGGGCCTCCTCCCTGTATCTTCCACCTGAGACCCTTCTCAAATGAACAAGAGGTAGAAATCCTCCTGCAGTTCAGGCCGGGCCACCAGCCTCCTTCGCGTCGCTGTGACATCCTCTGTGGGCTGGCCAGAGCCTGAGCCAAGGTCTCTGATGGTTCTTATGGGGAAACAGGTCACAGAGCACAGAGACCCCCATCTTCCACGTGCACTGAGGCCCTGTGAGCGCCACGCACCAGAACAGAGGACTGTAAACAGCCCACACACAACCCGCCAAGCGGGTTGGTCAGGTGGGGAGGCCAGAGGAGAAAGACCATTTTCTCTTCAGGGGAGATCTGTCTAAGGCGTCAGCTGGACTCGAATTCCTTCCCACTCTCCCACCACAATGCGCGAAGATGGGCCTCTCTCCCTCTCCTTCCACCCAGCCATCCCGTGTCCGTCCTCTGCTCCGGCGGGGCTGCCTGGTTGGATGGCCCCCAGTGCAGTCACCTCTCCGGGGCTCCCCTATGGATGTACGGTTCCGAGCGTGCCTGTTAGCAATCAGCCCCCCGTGGGGCCAGCCTCCTGTGAGTAAACTTTCATATCCTCACTAAGTGATGGCCGCTGGTACAGAATGACTCCCCCGGACCTGTTGGAGGTTGATTCCTTAATCAAAGCTTCTGGCTCTCCTCCGCGCTCTCTCCCCGAAAGGTTATCATTCAAGAGAAGAAAGGCGCTTTGATTTCCGATGCTGGGCTTGCCAGCTTGGATCTGGGGCTCCTGGGAGGTGGTCATGGGGAGGCAGGGGGACTTACCCTGAGCTTGTGTTCAGATCCCAGCCCTGCCATGCTCAGCTGAGCAAGGCAAGTCATGAGGCCTCTCCCCTCCCCTATGCCCACGTCCACACCCTCTCAGGTGTTGTGAGATTCAGAGAGATCTTGTATTTGTCTGTGCTTCTAAGGCTGCAGGGGTGTCAGCTGCTGCTACACCCATGTTCTCTGACCATGTTCCGGCCCCTCAGCACGAGGCCCCCTGTCCAGCAGGGGCTTCCATAGCGCTTTCTGGAACCAATGGACCCTCCTTCCATAAGGCATCTTGGGCAAGAACACGGGGTAGACCCAGCCCGCGCCATGACCCTCCCCTCTCTTAGAGGCGTCCCTGACCACAGCTCCCTGCTGTCCTCGCCTCCCCGCTCCTGTCCCGCACACCAAGTGGGAGAGACACATCTGCACATCCTTGTTTTTTGAAGGCGAAAGAAGCAATGGCTAATAATCCACATCTTCACGTGTGAAAATTAAATCCCCAGATCAACCTAATTTATAGCCTCTTCTTGGGCGTCTCCCTCCCTGAATATCTGGAGAACTACAGGGGTGGGGTGGGCGCAGGGCGGTGGGGGCTTGGCAGGCCTCCTATCCCCTCAGTCTTAGTTTTGGGGACGATGTTGACCCTCCTAGAGAAGAGAAAAGAGATGGCCTCTTTCTGCCTGGCCTACCAGCGGGGCCTCTGTGAGAGCCGGGCACACAGCTGTTGAACATCTGGCCCCATTCAAACATTAATCACCAATTCCCAACGACCTCTCAGAAAAGTCTAAAAGCCTTCCAGGCGAATGGCCTTCCACAGCCCCTGCTCCTCACGGGATAAGTAG